GTGAGCTAATAAGCATACAAAACACAGAACAGTTGCCTGGCACTTAGTAAATGCTGAATGAATGTTAATACTGCTTTTATTCTCCGCTCTGGGCAACTTAAGAAACAGAAAAGAGGATTCTGAAATAAATTCAACTTCTTATAAATTAACCGCACCGATGGTGTTTCAGAGCCCCTCGCTGGTGCAAACAGTTAACAGGCTCACTGCTAACCAAAAGGTTAGTGGTTAAGAGTCTCGCCAGAGGTGCCTCAGAAGAAAAGTCTGGCAATCTATTTTCAAGAAATCAGCCAATGCAAACCCTGTGGAGCACAGGTCTACTCTGACACACATGGGGTACCCAGGAATCAGAATCTACTCGGCTCGTTTATGGTAGTTAATAAGATAGTGTTTTAGAAACAGAATTCTGAGACCAAGACTGTACATAATTTAATTTGTAAAAATCCTGCAGCATAGTATCAGTTCTCTTCCCCTTACTAACTCTGTTCATTCTTTAAGGCTTATCTACAATCACTTGCTCAGGGAAACATTCCTTGACTGTTCATACCAGGTCGAGCTACCCTGTGCTTCTTTGCCATAGCACTTAGCAGCATGGTAATTTAACAGTTTTTAGTGTGAAAAAATCCAGTTGCTGTCGATTTGATTCTGACTCATGATGACCCCTTGTGTTACACAGCAGACCTGCCCTCCATACAGTCTTCAAGGCTGTCACCTTTCAGAAGCAGATCACCTGGCCTTTCTTCCGACATCCTTCTGAGTGGGTTTGAACCACCAATCTTTCAGTTAGGAGTTGAGCACTTAACCATTTGCCCCACCCAGGAACTCCTGGATTTCGTATAGTCGTTCACTTAATGTCCACGTTCCCCAACACGCTGGAAATTTCATAAGGTCAGAAGCAACTTTAACCTCAAGGCCTAGATGGTCCCTGGCACTTGGTAGTAAAGGCAGAATAAACATTTGTTGAATGAATGATTGAAAAAGTCAATAAGTAGATCAATGAATACATTTAAGGGAAGTTTCAAAAATAGCTTTCCCAGATTATATATGAAATTTAAATAGATATAATGAATTAATATTTTTGTGACCCCCTCCATAAAATATAGTGCCTTTTAAATTTAAACTGAATATAAATGGATTTCATGCCGACATACTTCTTTCAAACACACTTGCATTATTTCCGTGTTTGTCTGGCAGGAGCCAATGAGGAGTCTCCCTCCCTCTCACACCGCTGTGCCTCACCATTCCCATTCACCCAGCTGTTTATTCTCACCCCGCCCCCCCCACCCCTGCCATTTTCATTTACTAGAATGATAATGTGTATTAAATTTTATAGTAACATGCCTAAATAAAGTTGGGTGGGGGAAAGTGGTTTTCAGAAAATCGTACTGTAATTGTTTTATTTCAAGCCAGCATTAAATTACCCCCCTCAACGAACTTTTTATTCCCCACTAAAGGAATTTAATATCAATTATACAAAGAATAGAAATATCTTTTGCTCTGCTTAGCAAGTAAAATTGAGTGAAAAATCTCTTCAAGAGTAAGCTCATGTAGAAAAATGTCTGAGAATGTGAGATTCACACTCAGGGATAAAATGATGTGACTTTATGAAATATCCTGATATAGTAAAACAATGGTGCTTCTTTAGAAGGAAGAATGAATCCTATTATTATAGTTACTAGAGAAAAAAAGTCAAATATTCTTAGAATTCGAATCTACACAATTGCTACCTTAAAAACATAGAAACCTTTTAAAAATTAATTTCCCGCCTTTAATCCACAAAAAGAATTGAATTGTTAAGAGACTTTCCTTGAACTATTAAGTAATATGGAATCAGAAATTAATCACTTTATTTACTCTAATGTCTAAATGGGAAAATAAAAATATATTTGTGCTGGATAATAGCTCACTGGGTAAATTCTACTACCAATACAGGGAAACTGTAAACTAACCAGAAAACAGACGTATAGTACATGAACATTCTTCCGGAATTTAATTTAGACTTTGAAAATGATGAAGTCAAGGTAGCAAAAGAAAAAAGCGTATTTGGTGGTTACAGAAGAGGATCAGGAATAAAGAATATTGGATTCACTGTATAGTCAGTCCACTGCATAGACTTGAATAAACGGCTTACCCTTTGGAGGTCTGAGGGCTTCAACTTCTCTGCTCTCTAAATACACTTACAATAAAAATGCTATTAGAAGTAAATGTCAGTGAAGAACTGTGAGACCCATGTATTAGAGATGAAAAGGAATTCCAAATACCTTAACTATAAAATAATTAAAACTTAATGTTATTTAAAAGTCACATAGCTATCTCGAATAGATTTATAGGTGACAGATCTGATATCAATTTTTAACTTATATTTTGAAGGTTTAATAATAAGAAGAAATTCTATAAAATACTTAAAAATACATGAAGTAAGATGATTTGGGTATTTATCTTCTGCCTTGGAAACAGTCCCTGTGACTCTGAGACCTCAGAAAAAGTCTATTGCCTAGACAACAGGATTTGCTTTTAATCCTGAAAGCTTTCACATTATTTTCCTGGTAATAAAAGGACAAGGATGTGAAATCAAAATTTCACAAATTAGACCTCTAACCTACCCCTTCTCCATCCCCAGCTCTTCTCTTCCATGGCAGGTACCCGGTGTTGTGCACAATTTACTGTTTAAATTATCAGCATGATATTATATCACTCTAGTCCCAACTTTGTTTTTACTGTGTAAACACCTGCTGTTTCAGTGAAGTCTACTCATATATATATTTTTTACTTTATTTTCTTAAAGGTGATATAGCAGATATTACAAATGTTAGTGACTAGGATTAACAGAAATCCCACACACAAACTTTTAGGTGACATCCTAAAGAAAAGAAATTTCAGCTAAATTGTGTTGACACCTTCAAAAAGGGTGAAATCATTTAGTTTCCCTGGGTTTTATAGAAAACACTTCTAAAATGACACAAAGATGTATAATAAGACAAACTGTAAATATTAACTACTTCCTTGAAATATAATTTAAACTTGGTGACTAGGACAAGAAAATGTCATATTCCTTTCTCTTGCTAAGGAAATTGCATACTTCCTTTGCAAAAACAAAGAATATGCAGTCTTCATAAGAGTATATTTGACAGTTTTAAAGTTGTTTTGTTTCAAGGTTAAAGGCTTCTATAAATTTTCATGATTGTCTCAAAGTTGAAAAAAGGAAAGAAGAAAAACACTAACTTTAGGGCACACAAGTTTTGTTTTTAATCGATATTAAAAACTGCATTAATGCAATGGTCATATTTCATCTTTTCTAAATATTATCTTGATTTGCATCAATTTAACATTCATCTTAGAACGAATACACTTTCAATTTTATGTGTGTTTTCTTTCATACTCTCCTCAATGTTCTAAACAGAACTCAAACTTCTCTTGTTACCAGGATTTGTGAAGCAAATGGATATGCATTTTACTAAGTGGAAAAATGGAGCTGAAGCACGGGCAGTTAACTACTGATGAGTGTGCAGTGTTTGGTTTGTGGACCATAGGATACCATAAACCTTGGTTGAGAACATTAATATGGGAATTGAGTAATTCTGGAAACACAGAGTCTCTTTCAAAACATAGGTTAATCAAACTTACAGAATTTCACTAAAATGAGAAAAAGTTTAACAGCAATAATACCAAACAGTGTCATAAGGACTTTGTGTACATTTATTCATGTCACCCTCATACTGACCCTATTAGGTAGGCTCTGCTATTGTCTCTCTTTTACAGATGAGAAAACTGAGGCCCCTAGAATTTAAGGACTTTGCCAAAATTCCCACAGTCTCTAAGTGACAGTCCCATGCTCTTAACTGCTTGGTGGGTTTAAATTTGTGATACCAAAAAAATAACCTAACCCATTGCCATCAAGTCAATTCCAACTCATAGCAACCCTCAGGATGGAGTAGAACTGGCCCCATACAGCTTGCAAAGAGTGGCTGCTGGATTTGAACTGCCAACCGTTTGGTTAGCAGTCAAGCTCTCGTGTCTTGGTGACAGAGGAGAAAAAGGTGGAGAAGATGGACAAGATGCAAAAGGTCATGAATAGGCTTATTCTAGAAGGGCTGCACTCCTTATGATTTCAGAACACAGTTCAAGACATTTGGACTTCAAAACAAACAAAGAAAAACAAAAAACCCGGGGAAGACAAGCTGATGGGTCACAGACTTTCAAAGGGCCAGGCCAATAGCTCTGCCAGGGACAGGAAAGTCCCCAGCTCAGCTCTCTGGCTCCTGGTGGACTGCTCCAGCGAGTGGCTTTGTTAGCTGCCACAGGCTTTCCTGGTCTCTGTAGAGGTTCCAGATTGAAGGGCTGTTGGGGAGCACAGGATATCAGACCCAACTGTGGGATAATGCTAGGTGCTTTGTCCAGCTCACAAGTATGTTGCAGGTGTTAATGTACACATACACATAGATATGTGTAGGCAGAGCTGTAGTTGTTTTTTTCTTTACTTTTCCCCCTCATTATTAACCGTACGATAGAAGTACAGTACCAGAACTGGCAAGTCTATTTAAATAACTCCCAATTTTACTTAACAGTACAAACAGCTTGCTTTGGATTCAGGCCCAGGGGGTTCCCTCTGTAAGAAAAACTTTGATAACCAAAGAAATAAAACGTATTAATTTCACCACGACAAGAATAAACTAGAGTGCATTTTAATCACAATTAATGGTAGACATAGCATTTTCTCTACTCCATATGTATATATGAGAAAAATACAGCTGTATCTCAAACATATCAAAAAGTAATATACTCAAAATATCTACAATGGAAAATTAGTTGAAGAGTTTCTATTTCATGCATCTTTAAAAATTAAACTACTCTGATCACCTGCACCACAATTTCCCTGTATTTCAGAAGTATATGTAGTGTATTTAATAAGCATATAAAATAATTACTAACATTACTGATTAGAATAATTTTGTGATTTTAATGCTCTTCAAATTATCAAAAATACTATATTCTTTAGAACTCACCTTTTGCCCATCCATCCCTGGAATGCCAGGTGCTCCAACAGAACCCTAAGCAGACACATAACAACACTAAGCGAACATCACAATCACAAAATATTTCAAGTTTATATTGCATTAGTTATGTCGGCCATAATTCTACCTTGCTAAAACATCCTGTTCTACTATATTATCTTATACCTATGAAAACATTACTATGTATGTTAATGGAGCCCTGGTAGCACAGTGGTTAATAGCTATGGCTGCTACCCAAAAGGTCAGTAGTTTGAGTCCACCAGCCGTTCCTTGGAAACCCTATGGGGCAGTTCTACTCCGTCCTATAGGGTCACTATGAATCGGAACCAACTTGATGGCAACAGACTTTTTATGTATGTAAATGGGAATTTTTTTCCCAGGGAAGGATTATTTCCCCAGCTTATACGATCTTTTATTTAAAAATATACTGCAGGTTATATTTGGGAGACTGTTTCTCAGCTCTTATACTATGTTCAAATGTATAATAATATAGACAAGTCAAGCTTCCCCGGAAAAACTGGAGTTACAATTTAACCTTGTTTCTAAATGTAGACTTAACCTTAATATGATTTTTTTTTAAATCACATCGTACGTTGAGATCCATATCTATCAGATGGCCACATGACTAAATTTTGGTGCTTTTAAGAAATAAATAGACTTAGTTCCATCTGGAAAAAGCCTAGCAGTGACAGTAATATTGAATTTTTTTGAATTGAGTTTAAATATCATAAAATGAGAAGTAATTAAAATAATAACACTTTGCTCCACATTTAATCAAATAAAGGACCAACGTTGTAAACCCTAATTTGTTGTATTTGAAGCATTTCCCCCCTGTACTTTCAGGAAGTATATTTAAGTCATTTGAGTGTGAATATGTCTTCCAAAGTAGACTAGAAAAGGTGTCACGAATGTTAAATACTGATCAGGAACAACACAACTCTGTCCAAAAAAATCTGTTGTGTGTGGGGTTGGGGGGAGGGTTTGTGCATGCGTACGTGTGCACATACCAAAGTGAGTATGAATGTTGGATATAGATAGGGTGAACTGAGAATAGACAGCTAATTACTACCTGAGAAAATCTATGACATTTAACTGGACACAGAAACACGAGCAAATGTTTTCCAACGGTGATGTCATTTCCCTCCATTAGACCTCCTTTTTAGGGTCTGGAGAAACCATTTTTAAATACAATGTGCTTATTCTTTTTCTAACACTAGGAAACAGGTTTTTCTTAATAGACGCATGATATTAAATGTCTTCAGTAATAACTGCAAACAATTATTAAAATAGTATTTATATGCAAAACAAATTGAGATGGCAACCTCCTTACTGTGCTCAGTGATTATACTGAGTGGGTCATTAAAGGACTTCCTGAGGCCTGAAGCAGTAATTGTATCCTGGTTGCGTGTGGATTAGGGTAGCTTTACAATTTCACACCATGCCTAATAGAGACATTATTGCGATGGACAAAGTGTTCCTACACGCAAGTTGTCTCACAACTCATTGGCTTTTACTTGGTTTGTAGGATTATGTTTCAACAGATGTCACATGCCCGATGCTTGGGGGATAAAAAGTCTCTATCTTTGGTGGATTCCAATGATAAATAATAATCACTTTTCCAGCTGTTACAATACAATTGTTTTCTTTAGTTTTCTGTAGATTAAATATCCTTTTTTCCCTCTGAGGGAGGCGTAATGAGGAGTGGGGACTTAGTGATATTTTGTTGGCAAACAGCCATCTACCTGCTATTGATATATTTCATATTGTAGTACTAGCGTAATTTTAGAAGTCTTAGATTCTCTCCATCAGAATGTAATGGTCGATTCTGATGCCTGTAAATAATATTGACACGACAACCAGAAGTCACTTTTCAGGTTACCTTAGGAGAGGAAGACGCTAGTGAGCCCCTTGAATACAGCCAACCAAGCCATACCTACCTCCCTTGTTCTGGTCAGTTCTGTGGCCATTTCACAATCATATATTTGAGCAAGGCCATGCATTCAATTTGCAATGTCATATGACTTTTCACATTTTAAGTTTGGTTTCAAGGTTCTACTGGTATTTGAATTAAAATTCAGTCATCTACAAGTACTGCACAGATTGAAAAGTCTACTCTGTAGGTATTGAGTTTTTTTTTTTTTAATAATGGAGTCGATCAGAAATCTAATGGGTCACACTGTATGATTGTATTTTTGAGAAGGCGTAGAATGCACAAACCATACCAACTGCTTCACCATGGCTTACAGTAGCTAATTCCATTCACCTCTCGTGCTAGCCATCAGGCAATGGAAGTATAATTAGTTTCACAGTATTTTTGTTTATACTCTACCTTTTGTCCTGGAGGGGCCAGAGGACCCTATAAAAGAAAAAAAAGGAAAATTAACATAATACTGTAACCAGTTAAGCTTAAATGACCAATTAAAATGGTCTTATTTTATACGGTTCTCTTTGCTGAACTGAAATCTGCTGATGTTTTGTACATCAAGGAAAATAAAAAAATTTCAGTTAGAAGTACACAATGGGGCTTTTCTTCTCTTGCTTTCTTTTGAAGGCCATTAAAGATATGTGGTAGGATTCTGATGTTTTTCCTTTAAAAAAATCTTTGCTGTTCCAGCGCATCTGTTTCTTCAAATACCTGCAAATCTATCACATCAATGTCATTTAGAAGGCTGGAGATATTGCTAGAATCAGTCAAAAGGCAGTGCAGTTCCCTAGCAAACCAATACATTATATTGCTGCTACATCTGCAAAAGTTCAGTAAGCAGATTTGCAAAGGAATTAATCAAATAACATTACAAAGAGATGTGTTTTGTTCTTTTTCTTCCTCCTACAAAATGTGTCCAATTGACTAGCACAAAAACTTGTTTACAAACTAGGAGAAGCCAACATCAACTGAGGCACCTAGTGTGGACCAGAAAAGAGAACAAAAGATGCTGCCAGCTGTTGCTTAGACGTTGATACTGAGAGGGGGAAAAAGAAATACAATATTAGGGAGACTGTCATGGTTTGAATTATGTCCCCCAAAAAATATGTGTATTAGTTTGGCTGGGCCATGATTCCTGGTAATGGGTGATTTTCCTATATGTTGTAAAACCTGCCTCTATGTTAATGAGGGAGGATGGGTGGCAGTTGTGTTAGTAAGGCAGGACCTGATCTACAAGACTGGATTGTGTCCTGAGGCAACCTCTTGAGATATAAAAGACAGAAATGAGCAGTGAGACAGGGGGACCTCATACTATCAAGAAAGCAGCGCCAAGAGCAAAGCGCGTCCTTTGGACTGGGGTCCCTGCGCCGAGAAGCTCCTAGTCGGGGGAAACACTGAAGAGAAGAAGGCCGACAGAGAAAAAAAGCCTTAAAAAAGCCTTCCCCTGGAGCTGATGCCCTGAATTTGGACTTTTAGCCTACTTTGACTATGAGGAAATAAACTTCTCTTCATTAAAACCATCCACTTGTGGTATTTCTGTTACGGCAGCACTAGATGACTAAGACAGAGACGAATGAGAATATTTACACATAAAATGGAAATGCGGCAGTTCTGAGATTTGGCAATTTTTCAACCAAAAGTCAGTGTCAGGATTGTTAGTTTTATTTAGAGAAAGACACAGCTTTGGGACTGTCTTCCATGAGTATTTGCAGAAAAGAGTACAAAGAATATTCTGAATATTCATGTCCATTTTTAAATGAAAATATTAAGCACTTCCCCAATTTTTTCAAAAATATACTCAATTATAATATATTTTATTAAATTATAGACACTCCAGCATTTCATAGAGAAAGCTCTTTACTCCATTACACTTAAATAATGGTCACCTTATTTTCAATGTGTGACATTTCAGTTAACCAGCATCTTGCATTCATACTCAGTAATATTATATAAAACACTAGGGTAGTCATTAGTGGAAAAGTTGGCCATGCATAATTTTTCATAAAAAATGCAGAATGTTTAGGTATATTCTGGGAATCTCCTTCTCACAAGTTATTTTGTAATCCTCGAAGACCAACAGTTTCCTGATACAATCAGCTTTAGATTATTAAAAGTGCACTTTGCAATTCTACCTTTATATATTCCTATTTGATTTAGTCAACCAACTCTTTAATGAGCTTGTTATCTGGCATATCTGTGTGATCAGACATTCTCCCTGCCCATCTCACTCCCTATTTAAATTCTTTCTGTTTTAGATTTTGCAGAGAAACCAGAGACTATCAGGTGTAAATTCCCTCCACATCATGTCCCTCATCAATCCATGTGAACCCCCTTCCTTTGTCGGAGGAAGAAGAGTCCCTTCTCTTAAACAGGACGAATTCATCTGGTGGACTCTGGAATTCATCCTTGCCTTTCCCCTCAGGGATCTTTCCCCATCAATTATCCCTGCATCCTTATCAGAACCTCCCCCTCTCCCCTGGTTCCTTCCCCTTAGTTCATAAACATGTTTAATCATTTCCTCACTTGGGTATATTGTTTGGGAAGTGAATGTTTATGCTAAGTAAGAGCAGAATTTAGAGTTTGTGGTGATAGCAGATCTGAGAGTGGAGAAAAGGCTTGGTTTTTATCATTATCTCTGATTCCGTTTTCCCAAGCATCTCTAGAGTCTTTACTTCTTAAAATGTTTATGTTAGAAAGGAAATCATATAACAAAAAACACATTAATTCAATGTTTAGACTGAGACTGTAATGTTCAATTCACAAAGGATTGTTTCTCATTGTAAACCTAACTTTGCCACTTGAAAAAATACTGTTTACTAAAATTGGATCTTCCGTTATATGTATAATCACGGAATGGAATATTTTGTACGAAAATAAGAGCAAATTTTAAATCAAATGTTTTGACTTCAGACTAACGCACCTAGTATTTTCTAATTTGTTCTGTGTTGCATGAGCACATAAGATCAGAGACTTAGTACTCACAATTCTTAAATGCATGAAATTGTATTAGTTGTATATTTTGGCACAATATTTAATGAAAGTCAGAGGATGGCCTGTTAGGAAACTACTACTATTTTTGTTAGACTCCCCAAATAAAAACCATTAATTTTGAATGGTGAATACATGTCTTACAGATTAGCCATAACCATATTACCAAGCATATATTCTCAGCTACCAAAAATGTGCACATACTTCTTTGATCTCACTCGCGGGAAAAATGGTAGCATGTTAAAGACAATGTCATCTATTACTAAGAGGGAACTAGGAGTAAAGAAGAGTTGAATATAAGACTCAGACATATATTTGAGTTTAAGTAGACACACACACACACTATACAGCTACTTTACGGATCAAGATTTTACTTATATGTTGTGTTTTGAGCATCTTTAGATTAAAATCCCATTATGTATCTGTAACATTGTGGTGATTAAATGTAAGCTGACCAACTAAGCCTTCACTGTTCAAAAACTGATTCTGAACTTAGGGTATTCTGCCATCAGTTGGTTAAAATGTCTACATTTCAATAATCTTGTGGCTTTTAGTACAAATATAGATTTATAAAATAATGGGAAAATACCATAGAACCATTTACTAATTTATCTAATTTTTCTTAAACTTATTTATCCTTTCAGCCTGTATAACATGGATAAAGAATGTCATAAGTTCATTGTTCACTAGTCAAATCAGTGCTTCTTATTGATTATTCCTAAAATTAAAGTCAATTATTCTAGTGGTCCAAGATTTCTAAAACAATTCCATGTTCATATTATATCCTCATGATTTAACAAGTTTGGATCAAATGGCTTTGCAAATCAGAGTCATAATCTTTTTAGCCCATTTATTAACCACTGAAGTGTTCCTTTCTTAGACATTTCCTTGGTGCGCATATTTACATTAGTATATACTTTGTATGCAACCAACATATGTTCTGGATGATCTAAAATGTATGAACTTTTTCACTGAAGAATTTTTCATAATGAACGTAGTTTTATTCAAAAGATAAAAAACCAAATAAGCCACTGAAAAAATCTAAGTATGAAGTAACTTCACGAATCTGCAGACAAAACTTTACACCAACATTTTCATGATTATTTAGAAAGACCATGGAAAGCTATGCAAAGTTAACATAAAAACTTGTAAGTAAGTAAGAAATTATGTAGTGCATAGTGATTTTCTTCCTGTTTTCCCCACCTTTGTGGGATTCCATTTCTAAAGATTATGTACAAGAAAGTTAAAGAAACATGATAACCCCATGTTGATGATTGCCTTTACCAAAAGCAGGTTACTCAGGCCTAAGAATGAATCCTTACTTCTCCCTCTTTGAGTCCACCAGAAAATTACTCAAGAATATCGCTCCAGTCCGGCCCTCTTCTCCTACTGCATTGCTATGTTCTTATTCAAATCCTTGTCTCTCCTCACCTGCCCAATGTGACACCCACCTAATGGCCTCTCTGCTGGCTGAGCAAGCTTTCTAAAAGGCTAACAGGTTCATGTTTTTCTCTGGCTTTCCACAGTCCAAGCTTCAGTAATACTTGTAGTTTGTCACACATGCCCTGCTTCCTGCCTGTACACTGCTGCACCTCTGGTTCTGCCTGTAATAGGCTTCCTTCTCTCTGGTCTTCTCTCTCCCACCCACTGCATAATTCAGAACTCAGTGATCCCCACCCCCAACACTCCCTTGGACTTAGGGCCCCTTCTTTTGTTCTCCAAAGCATCGCTATGACTGTACTTTTTTCATGGAACTTACCGCACGGTACTGCAGTTGTCAGGTTACTGCTTTCTTCACTCTGAGTGTCTTTTATCTTGCACAGTAGCTTGCACATAGTAATTGCTCAGTGAATCCTTTTGAGTTTTTCCATTTATTCATCCACTTAACAATTTTCAAATGCCAGCTGTGTGCCAGACAATATTCTAGGTGCTTGAGATACAGCAATGACCAAAGTAGAGAAAAATGTATACTCTCCTGGACTATACAGTCTAGTGAACGGAGACAGACAGTAAACAAGTAGACAAGTGAAGTGTAAAGTTGGGTAAGGTGGTGTCATGGATGGAATTATGTCCCCCCAAAAGTATGTGTCAACTTGGTTAGGCCATGATTCCCAGAATTGTGTGGTTGTCCTCCATTTTGTGATTGTAATTTTATCTTAAAGAGGATTAGGATAGGATTATAACATTCTTACTAAAGTCACATCCCTGATCCAATGTAAAGGAAGTTTCCCTGGGGTGTGGCCTGCACCACCTTTTATCTTACAAGAGATAATAGGAAAGGAAAGCAAGCAGAATAAAGGGACCTCATAGTGCCAACAAAGCAGTGCCTGGAGGAGAGCGCATCCTTTGGATTCAGGGTCCCTGCACAGAGAAGCTCCTACTCTAGAAGAAGATTGATGAGAAGGCCGACAGAGAGAAAGCCTTCCCCTGGAGCTGATGTGTTG